GGGTTGAGTACGGTAATTGCAGTGACATTTGCCGCATACCGCAAGGGAGAATGCCGCGATAGGGGAGAAGTTCCGTTACCCCCGACAGGGTATGGGCTTCCCTAAAGCCCATATAGGTACTTCTGTCCGAGGCGCCGCCCGTTCCGGTGTCCCGCCCACTGCAGGGTTTTTAAGCCGCGCCCATATATGCTCTGTCGATCTTGCCCTAGGTCCCACCCATTGCAAACGAACAAACATACGTAAAGACTACCAAATTGTGTTTGCACTGTATCGAGCCATGTATCTATATCTATCCAGGCCCAAAAGGTACTCCTTTCCACCAGGATCGGTTGATTGCTATCAAATTCGTTTGAGAGAATGCAAGCACTGATTCGTACATCGGTTAGTCACCGCAAGTCATGGTATAGGGCACATACGCCCTCTAATCGACACCACGACTCTGAATGAAAGCCGAAGGCAGGCCGCACTCCAAACGCGCAACTGATTAATGGCGGAGACTTTAGCCATATTATTCAGTATAACGAATTCAAAATCAATGATGTGTAATGAACTCTCCTTCTTTAATATAATGAATTTCCACCCATTTACAAATTTCAGGCTGATATTGGTCATTAACGGCTTGCTGAACAAAACTTCAACGTCGTGTCAATCAGTAGTTCAAGAACANCACGACTCTGAATGAAAGCCGAGGGCAGGCCGCACTCCAAACGCGCAACTGATTAATGGCGGAGACTTCAGCCATATTATTCAGTATAACGAATTCAAAATCAACGAATGTGTAATGAACTCTCCTTCTTTAATATAATGAATTTTCACCCATTTACAAATTTTAGGCTGATATTGGTCATTAACGGCTTGCTGAACAAAACTTCAACGTCGTGTCAATCAGTAGTTCAAGAACACGTCATCGGGAGCCCATGTATGATTCAAATACGAAGGTCTCTGTTCGGATGCCACGTCTAAAGATCGATCGAGCAGTAGCGTTTGTTGTTTAGCTTGTTTTCAAACAACTCATGATTGTTGGTTTTCAATGAAAAATGAAAAATGTACTCCTTGAAATTCGATGAGCAGCCGCTCAATGCCATCCAGGATACTTCCAGACTGAATATTGAGCAGAATACGAAACGAATAATACACCGTCACGCTGCATTGAGCGACGCCTTCCCACAAGACGGAATTGCTGTCGCCCCCCATTGAGCAACAATGTCGCCAACTTGGTAAATTTGCCATTCAGTTACAAAACTTATTGATTCATATTTCTTCACTTTTTGTTTATTATTTTTCCCCTTTGTTACGTAGAGTTAGAAATAAAGTGGGATTCTCAAACTTCTGACATTAAGTCACCTTTGGCCGCAATCCAATTAACGATTCCACGCTGTGAAAAAGCGTCTCAGAGAAGGCTCCACGTCGCTACACCGAGTAAACCCCTCCTTGCTAATGAATGGTCACAACACGCGCAAATTGCCTCTCCATCAGGTATTTCTCAAGGGACTTCGGTTCACAACATCCCCGTAGTTTGCCTCGAGACTTTAGGCTGCTTCAGTCGTCAGTCATTCAGGATGTCCGGCCGAAAAGAGACGCCCTAGACGACTGATGCACTAGCTGAACCATCAGCACCGTTTTCCACAGAACTGATGGTAATTAATTAAACTGTGTGTGTGTTTGAATAGAAATTCATTATATTTGTCCCTGCCCCCTCGACTAAGAGTGCTTACACTTTGAAGGGATACAGGCAGTAGGATGGGAACATTAATGGGAGGCCAAAGGAAACTATGACAATAAAGGAACTAATAAGATGCCTTGAAGAGCATGAATCGTGGGTCCGGCACACCCTTCGTGTTAACAGTGGAACCCTGACACTTTCGCAGGGGATGCGGAGTGTGAAGGAACCGTTAATGGGTGGTGACCAGAGATTGATAAGAATTGATAGAGTCTGATAAGAGCCATAGAAGGTAAGAGTCACTGACTCGGTTACGCTTTCCCTGTCAACAGTGGGACCTTGAGATATTGGTGGGTGATATGGGATGTGATTGAATTGTATATTAAGCCACAGAGACTGATAGTAAGTGATAAGGTCTGATAATTTACCATAGAAAACAGGAGTAACACAGCTCGCCACGCCCTTTGCCCTGTTATCAGTGGAACCTTGACCTTTTGGTAAGTGCTGTAGCGTGTGACGGGGTAGGCATACTTGGTGACAGAAACCGACCACAGCTGATAAGGGCAGATAAGGGGCTGTAAAAGGTAAACTACTGAGTCGTTGACTACCTTCGAATTGATAAGCTCGATACATTGGATGGTGTAGTAGGATTTTTCGGAGCCACTAGATCGCTTTCTCTTTCGGTATGCTACATACCTCGGTGTGCACTATAGAATAACAGTGGATCGCAGATAACGGATTACAGAAAGTGATAACGGCTGATAAAGCCTGATGACTGATGAGTGATTTTTGAAGGTTCTTCGTTTGTTGCCCCTTTAATATGTTTTGTTTTGAGGTTTCATTGAGAGACCACGTACGATTATCATTACAATATCAATCGCCACAAAGGCTATCCGACCACTAATAATCTGAGAATCTTGGCCAATGGATTATCCACACGAAGAAAAGGAGGGTTATAAATACGGACCTCTGATAGAGCTGTTATCATCACTCAACAACTTCAGTCACTACATATAAAGAGTTCGAATGACTAAACAAGTTGCTCAATTTCATAAATACGCCCAAACCCAATCGGGAGACGGGTCTTTCAATGGATGTTACTGCTGTGATCCAGGGCATCAAATAAAGTGCTTCACGTACAAGCAGTTAGCGTATGCTGCTCGTAAAGAATTTGTAGTNGACAAGCCCATCTTTGTAAAAGGAAAAATAAACGAGTCAAGCGCGGCGTAGAAAGAACTATCCTACCGGTATTCTGTCAAATCGCTGGGCTTACGCCTCGTAAAACATATTTCATTCTACTGCACAAACCTGCTATACTACATACAATACTGTCCCAAATGCGACGCATCAAAAAGACTTCGAGCAAGGAAAAGTGAAGATAAATGGGACAACCAGGTTGCTGAGTCGGGAGCGGGTGAAAATGTAGTTGGAGTAAAAAATGTAGCCGTCCACAGCACCCAGTATGCGTGCGCTGCTTAGAGACTTCCTTAGGCAAGGGAACATGATTTTACCTGTGAAAATGTAGTTGGGGGGCCAGCGCCCTCTTGTGCTCTGCGTCTCTGTCACCAGACGGCAGCGCGCATAGAGACCGCGCTAGAGCGCAGAGATAGCTCTCAGCCTCGCTCTGCCGCCTGGTGTCAGAGACGCGGACCACAGAAGGCGCTGGTACCCCCAACTATATTTCCACCGATTTTACCCCACCCTCAGAAGGGAAGGCGCACTGAGGTGGGTGAGATGATTACCTCCAGCAAAAAGCTGGGATGGGATAAGAATTGAACATAAAATTGGTTCACCCACCCCGTAGCTTCTTCTCTCCTTCTCTAACTTTTAGAAGGGGAGGAGATCCGGGATGGATGAGATGATTAGAAGAAATGAAGAGATGCGGAGCGCAAAAGTGCCTGGCACCCCTCTCTCTCTC